TCTGATAGCCTCAAGCCTCCCAAGCTACGTCCTTGGAGGTGGCATAACATTTGTACCTGAAAAAGATGTCCCATATAGGGTGAGCCAACGCGTAGTAGAGATATGCTAAACATAATATGAACAATAACTAAAGCATTAGCACCTGACAAACGTTTAACTCATATAAACTAACCTACAGTACAATCCAGTTCCATAATCCTTCACTTAACAAAACTCAACTTATAAACATGGCTTAGAACCTGACCGAACAACTTAAGTGAGACAACATCTTATGCCAACAATACTTCAAACTACCATTTCACGAAAATTTCATCCGCGGGATCGGCACCCATGGATAATTATGTTTGAATTGCCATTTTACGAAAATTTCATCCGTGGGACTCGGCACCCATATATAGATATTTTCGGATTGCCATTTTACGAAAATTTCATCCGCGGGACTCGGCACCCATGCATAGATGTTTTTATATTGCCATTTTACGAAAATTTCGTCCGCGGGACTTGGCACCCATGTATTCAAATACTCATCATATACAATGACAACCAATACACCAATTGATTAGTTTTAATTCACCTAATCATCATGCAGTGTCTACAACAATCAAGACTATCCTTCACCGATAGCCCAAAGCAGTTATTTCTAAACAGATAATAAATGCTCCGCGGGACTCGGCACCCATGTATAGATGTTTTTATATTGCCATTTTACGAAAATTTCGTCCGCGGGACTTGGAACCCATGTATTCAAATACTCATCATATACAATGACAACCAATACACCAATTGATTAGTTTTAATTCACCTAATCATCATGCAGTGTCTATAACAATCAAGACTATCCTTCACCGATAGCCCAAAGCAGTTATTTCTAAACAGATAATAAATGCACTGACAGATAAATTATTGACATTTTCAAAAGTGAGCGATTAATAAATCCAACTCTACCATTCTATCTCATAATGAGCCAATTTCATTATTCCCAACTCAATTTCATAATTCCATAACAAATGTCATTAATTACACTAATGACCCAAATATACCCAAACATGGCAATTTTCCCTTTAAGCTCAATATTGACCCAAAGGTCCAAATATTATTAACAACACCAATAATCTCATCTCTAGACCCAAATACACCTGTATAGGCTCAAAATACAAAACCCCTCTTATATACATTTTGAAAACCCTAACACCCAAAATTACCCAATATCAATATTAAATCAAAATGACCAATAGTTTATGTCAAAGACCATAAAAATGAGTAGTTATCCCTACCTCAAACTCGGAGCTCAAAGGGAGAAGATGAAGAATTTCGAGATGCTCCAAATCCCAAGGTTTTGGGATCAAAACGTAGCCCACAACGAGATCAACATTTTTTACAAAGGCCCAAGGATAGGGGATCACTCTAACTAGATCAAACCCTAGAGAGAAGGTAGATTCTAGAGAGAGGAGCTCTCAAAAGAGGTTTTTAGAAAGTAAGAGAGAGAGTGTGAAAGTGAAAAAGTGATCTAAAAAGACCCAGCTGATATCTGATATACGTATGACCCGCTTGAGCGGATAATAGGACGCTCGAGCGTCAAGCACAAAAACTGGACCCGCTCAAGCGTGAAGGGTACCCGCTCGAGCGCCAAGACACAACTGCAAAACACACCAGCTCGAGCGCAAAGGGAAAGCTGCTCAAGCGTAGATTTCCCCCTTCCAGTACTTTTACAGATAATGAACTACCCGCTTGAGCGCCAAAATACCCACTCGAGTGCGACCCGCTCGAGCGCCAATATACCTGCTCGAGCGTGAAAAACACACCTGCAGAAGTATTGTAGAGGCACGAAATGCTGAGAGTGTGTAAACCCCGCTCGAGCGCAATAAGACCCGCTCGAGCGTACAACGAAAAGAAACAAACTCCGCTCCAGCGCAAAGGGACCCGCTCGAGCGTACCACCAAAATTCTGGGCAACAAGGAATGGGACAAAAGCTCAACCAACCTGTTTGAAACACGCCCAATACATCCTAGAACTCAAAAACACGGAATTAAAGGATAACAACAAGATATACAACCACCAACTCCACGGAACCTAAGTCCGGAATACAACAATCAAAGGAAGGGAAACCGGGATCGCTATAACCTCCCCCCTTAAAGAATTTCAACCCCGAAATTAAGTACAGTTTTTTTCAAAATAAGTTTTTCTCAATTTTCAATAACATTACCAACCAATATTCCACAACCTGACCCACTACCGGTCATCCTATCTCTATTCAAGAGGCATTTCTCACAGTTTGCTACAACAAGCAATTCATTGAAATTAAACAAGTTTCTACATACATATTTCACAATTGCATATCATATTCAATGTTCATGATAGATTTCCCTTACTACAGCACATCCAACATATATAATGTTAAATTAAACTTCCATTCAAGGCATATGACATAATACTACCATAAACCGAAACATGCACAATGTTTTATAACTGAAGACATATTCAATGTTCTTAAAGTTTATCAATACAACAAAATATTCAACATCCACTCAGTTACCCACCAATATATCCGGCTACTTCTCTTGGACCTCTAATTCACCTTCCCATGTGGCTTCCTCAACCCTGTTATGTTTCCACAACATCTTAACTAATGTAAAAGTCCTGCTTCACAAGACTCGATAACAGTAATAACAGCAAGACACATCTAACCACTACAGCGTTCTGAGACATCCACCACATCTCGACTACTGACAATACTCAAACCAGTATTTAATATTTAATATCCCAACATAGTAAACACGAAAACATTCGTACACAAGGCTTCCGGTCAACTTTCTCTCAAAACATGAACACAAGACGAAGCATGGGTAAAGAACAATATTATGGTACGTTACTATCCCAAAATTTCGAGGTCTTGCCAAAGACACACAACGTGTAACCAGCAACTCAGGCTAGGTTAAATCTAACTTCTCAAAAGATATTCCACTCAAGTTAAAGAAATCGTTTTATTTACTTCCTGTGTTTCAAAGCACTCAGTTCCTCCCAAAAATATTCAGACTTATACTGTCACCACTTAAACACGTCATTTATAACTGGCCATAGCCGGGAAGATTTTTCTCAGATTATTTTCTCGAAAATAAGGATCGCAAATTCACGTTTTGATTCGAAATCATTTTAGTTTATGAAGAGTACCCAATCTCCCTCCCGTGAATCATAACATAACCATCCCACAAAACTCGTCACACTCACAGTGATAACGCAACACTCAAAAACAAAACTCTCTTGACAGGGACCCCCTGAAAATTTGAAATTCCCAACAACGCAACAACACAAAGGATAACGTTGCACACTCCCGTGCCTTACACCACACAAACAAGGACCGAACAAGTTGAAACGACTTTAACAGAGTGCCTCACTCATTTTACACAATTTTGCTACCTCACTAGTGTTACCACTATCCAAACTGGACGACAGACACTTATACCAAAGTGACTTAGCTTTACCAAACATCAAACCACTCGATTCAATTAGTAATCACACTATTGCCTTACCAAGGCGTTCTCCGGGGATTTCCCTAGGATCGATCCCCTTCTACACATCATCTAATAATAACAATACGAACCACATACTGACACGCACCGTACTAAACAAAACCTCCTTATTTAATGCAAGCAATCTTACACCCATACTGAATCCCTCATTTAGAGATTTCACTCGCCATCTTGACTGAACTCATAATAACAAGATTTGCACACCCATTCCCTTGTATCGAATTAGTTGACAAGGGCTCACCACCCCACGACACTTATCACTGCTACGTATCTGTTTGTACCGTACACAAGCGAACTCAGTACCTTCATCCGTCAATGACCTATAAGGTCCACTCTTTATTCTACTTCCTACTTGTCACTGGTCCCGAGAGTACAATCAAGACACTAAGCCTCCGTGCCAAATTACTAGCCATTGCTACCGTTGAACAACCACCGTGAACCAGACCCTGACACAGACAAGGCCTTCAAAGACTCACCATCCTAGCTCTCTTGAAGAGTAAAGGTCCTCATCCTCCTCACTATCATCCCAAGCCTTCCTCCACAAACACCATACTACTGTGACTCTACTCACGGGTCACAGCCAAACCACGGGTTATACACCCAACCAATCTTACCGACAGCACCTTCTAGCCTACCTGATATTAAGGTACAAACCTATCGCATTCTACCATCACAAAGGAGTCTGGAAACTTAGGGAAACATCCATTATACCACTGCCCAAGACATAACACCAGCTGCTCACAACACACCACTCCCCGATGCCCACAACCACAATCTTATATAGGGACTAACACTCCCTCAATTAAAAGAACCAATCAGTATACATGCAAAATTGGCGACGTTACCTATCATGAAGGTATAAGTCTATTCCTAATGAAGTTATGCGCTATGACTCCGTAAAACATCATGTTAAATATACAGAACCCAGTGTTAATCGCACACATTGCACCCTCTCGAGGAGTTCTCACGGCAAAAGACCAAAATCCCTACCACGCACATAAGATCAAATAGATAACACCTATGAGATTCCGTACATCCAGCAAGTATAACTATTCTCGCCCCATAGTAGCCCTGACCAAGACAAGCATCCCTCAATAATTCTTCTAAATTTGAAAACATGGTTACCAGCCCTCGCTTCTCCAAACCAAATCACACGCATATAAATGCATTTACACAAAAGTTTTACGGTTTCTCGACAACTTATTACGTTAATAAAACTTTAGAGCCATAACATGTTCCAATCTGCCCATTCCATGGAAATTAATAAGCAAAAGCATATATATATAAACAAGCAGTTTTGATGTTTCAACATTCTCAAAACACATTGGTTACACACAGAACCCAATGATTACAAAACAATAATTCACCGATTACAAAACGGATTAGTCAAAACAAAACCACCCCATCGGTATTACCACTGCGACCGTCCCTCGCTGGGCCGCTAACGTTGGTCATTCTCAAACCCATGACATCCTACGAGCTTACAAGCCACGGACAAGAACTACAGATGTGCCCCAACTGGCCACACCTGGAACAACTGCAAATCTCCTTAACTGGGGCTTGGGAACTCGACTCTCCTAAGGCCCTCGAAATCTGGCCTGTTTGTCCCCCAGAATGGTATTGCCCATGTCCAGTCGAATAAGGCTGGACCTGCCTAGGTTGCAAAACTCCTAAAGAAGCCCCTGGCTGAGTACAGAAACGTTTGATATGACCTGGCTGATTACACACCCAACAAGTAAGTGGCTCCCAAGCATGAGACTGGTTTAAAGTCTGAGCTGATGGAGACCCCAACAACTGCTTCCCCAATGAGCATTCGGTCGACCCAAAACCTAGCTGGCTAGATGATTTTGGTGGGGCAGTCACCGGTCGAGCTGCCAACCCTACCTTCTTCCTCTGTGGGTAAACTGGAGACTTGTGGCCCAGCTGATCAAATCTGAAACAAACAGCAGAAACCCTATTCTGAGACTGGCCTGAAACCTGAACCTCTCTGGACCTCCCAATAGAAGAGTCCAAAACCCTTGGTGAAGAAAAGGACTTAGTCTAAGACGGAGCATACTTTCGCCTCCACCTCTTACTGGGCCTAGAGTACCTATAAACCATAGGAGTTACCGAGATGGCCTCCTCCCTAACCTGACCAACACTCACAACCACAGACTTTTCCTTATTTTGACCCATAGTTAGCGCCGCTGCCTCTACATGAGCTGCCGCCTTAACGAGCACACTATAGCCCCTATGCCAAGACCCAGCAATCCTTTTTCAGATGTCGTCACACAGCCTACTCTCAAACTCTGAACAACACAATTCCTCCATCTTCACTAATTCTGGGGCAAATCTCTACAAGTTAGCAAACCAAGCCTCAAACTGTACCAAAAGTGTAGTACCTTGGCGTAACTCCACAAACTATTTCCGCAACTCTTCCCGTGTGGAAGGAGGGAAACCAAAACTTCCTCGTCTAGGCATCTTAGTAAAAGTAACAAAGGTATTAGTACATTCTTAAATGTACCGAAACTATTTCACTTGCGTCCGAAAGCATTGGACAACTGTAATTCATTCCACGTAAGCACATAGTCACATAAGCACTTACGAATTTCATTTCCGGATAATGACGGTCCCGAGGCGTTGCTAGAGTTCCGGTTAGAAACAGCATTGATCAAGTGCTTTTCCAAAAGGACTCCTAGAAACCCAAGGATCCAATCAACATCCCAGAAACTAAACCCCATACCCATGTAGTCACATAAACATGTTATCAAGTAAACACATAACATCATGCATAAGTCACTAATAAGTGAGACAAACCCATTGTGGTACTAACCACTTCCCGTGTACCCAAAGTATTCGAACCCGGTACGCTCTGATACCAAGTTGTAACGCCCTCAAAATAATACATAATTCCCACATCCGATCCTTCCATAAACATGTAAGATAGTTTACATTGTCATACAAGCATCAGAGTTAATATTACAAAAGTGTATTTCATATTAATTACAAATGTTTACAAAATTAATAGAATGCCTGCAGGTTTACATCTTTCCAAGTCAACACTTGGTTACAAAAAGAGAGTACTAACTCTACACAATTAAGCCCTTGGCTTGATATACATGTAAATACAACAAAAACAACACAAAGAGTCTGACAGCCTCAAGCCTCCCAAGCTACGTCCTTGGAGGTGGCATAACACCTGTACCTGAAAAAGATGTCCCATATAGGGTGAGCCAACGCGCAGTAGAGATATGCTAAACATAGTATGAACAATAACTAAAGCATTAGCACCTCACAAACGTTTAACTCATATAAACCAACCTACAGTACAATCCAGTTCCATAATCCTTCACTTAACAAAACTCAACTTATAAACATGGCTCAGAACCAGACCGAACAACTTAAGTGCTACATCTCATGCCAACAATACTTCAAACTACCATTTCACGGAAATTTCATCCGCGGGATTGGCACCCATGTATAATTATGTTTGAATTGCCATTTTACGGAAATTTCATCCGCGGGACTCGGCACCCATGTATAGATGTTTTTATATTGCCATTTTACGAAAATTTCGTCCGCGGGACTCGGCACCCATGTATTCAAATACTCATCATATACAATGACAACCAATACACCAATTGATTAGTTTTAATTCACCTAATCATCATGTAGTGCCTACAACAATCCAGACTATCCTCCACCGATTGTCCAAAGCCGTTATTTCTAAACAGATAATAAATGTCTCAACAGATATATAATTGACATTTTCAAAAGTGAGCGATTAATAAATCCAACTCCACCATTCTATCTCATAATGAGCCAATTTCATTATTTCCAACTCAATTTCATAATTCCATAACAAATGTCATTAATTACACTAATGACCCAAATATACCCAAACATGGCAATTTTCCCTTTAAGCTCAATATTGACCCAAAGGTCCAAATATTATCAACAACACCAATAATCTCATCTCTAGACCCAAATACACCTGTATAGGCTCAAAATACAAAACCCCTCTTATATACATTTTGAAAACCCTAACACCCAAAATTACCCAATATCAATATTAAATCAAAATGACCAATAGTTTATGTCAAAGACCATAAAAATGAGTAGTTATCCCTACCTCAAACTCGGAGCTCAAAGGGAGAAGATGAAGAATTTCGAGATGCTCCAAATCCCAAGGTTTTGGGATCAAAACGTAGCCCACAACGAGATCAACATTTTTTACAAAGGCCCAAGAATAGGGGATCACTCTAACTAGATCAAACCCTAGAGAGAAGGTAGATTCTAGAGAGAGGAGCTCTCAAAAGAGGTTTTTAGAAAGTAAGAGAGAATGTGTGAAAGTGAAAAGGTGATCTAAAAAAACCCAGCTGATATCTGATATACGTATGACCCACACGAGCGGATAATAGGACGCTCGAGCATCAAGCACAAAAACTGGACCCGCTCGAGCGTGAAGGGTACCTGCTGGAGCGCCAAGACACAACTGCAAAACACACCCGCTTGAGCGCAAAGGGAAAGCTGCTCGAGCGTAGATTTTCCCCTTCCAGTACTTTTACAGACAATGAACTACCCGCTCGAGCGCCCAGATACTTGCTCAAGCGTGACCTGCTCGAGCGCCAATATACCCGCTCGAGCGTGAAAAACACACCTGCAGAAGATTTGTAGAGGCACGAAATGCTGAGAGTGTGTAAACCCCGCTCGAGCGCAATAAGACCCGCTCGAGCGCAATAAGACCCGCTCGAGCGTACAACAAAAAGAAACAAACTCCGCTCGAGCGCAAAGGGACCCGCTTGAGTGTACCACCAAAATTCTGGGCAACAAGGAATGGGACAAAAGCTCAACCAACCTGCTCGAAGCACGCCCAATACATCCTAGAACTCAAACACACGGAATTAAAGGATAACAACAAGATATATAACCACCAACTCCACGAAACCCAAGTCCGGAATTCAACAATCAAAGGAAGGGAAACCGGAATCGCTATAGCGGGCTGGACGACTAACGAACCGATGTCCACCCATATCCCCAATATGCTCTCTATTCCCACTTTTTCCCTATTTTAGAGAGTCAAATATAAAATAAGTAATTCTAATAGACTCCCTACTCAACTCCTTGTTTAAGAGAGTAAACTTTTGACTCCTTACGTTTAGGGAGATTTCAATCACTCTCTATAATTAAAAAATTATTCTTTCTCTCTCATCTCTCATTTTTTTCTCAAATGGTGGAGGAGAGAGAATAAAGTTTGAAAAAATATTTTTAATAAAAAATTATAAAGAACAAATATTTTTAAAATATTCAAAACATATACAGAAAAAATATGAAGTAATTGAACAAGTGAGTCCCTAAAATATGAAAGACACTTTTTAACTAAAATTTGAAAAAAAATTACTAGGGAGAATTGTTGGAGATGTTCTTAGTCATTGAACAAATAGATGGTCTATTTTTAAAAATATATTTTTCTTCTATTTTTTTAGAAATAAATGTGTTAAAATAAAATGTTACGATTATCGGATCGATCTAAGTTTTTTTATGGATGATATACATTTAGGATCCTAAAAAATGAACGATTCGGATTATCGAAACTTGATTTGTAATAAATCCAACAATCCCTTCAAATTTTCCCATGTTAATATGTAAATATAATTTCAACCCTATTTCATTTATTTTCAATTTCACTATTTATCTATTTTCGTTAAGTAAAACTGATGAAAAAATAAATATTTTAGTCATTAAATTCAATGTAAGTATACATAAATTTTTTTGAATACTATTTTCATTGAGTTTAATAACTAAAATACTCATTTTTTTCATCGATTTTATTTAATGAAATAGGCAAATGGTTTAACTAGAAAACAAATTAAAAGTTCATTATTTAAATTGACAAAATTAAAAATAATTGTAAAGACATTAGGTTCAGTATATATTTTTTTGTTGGTATGAGATCCATCATTTGTAAAATAGTTTGGAGAGAAATCCTTTTGTTGGTTTTGGAGGACATTTTGTTTCTAATTTTATCCCTTAATTTATCTGTTGACTTTTTTTTTATCTATTGACTTTTTGTTGACTATATGTTCAAATTTATATCTATTTGTTCAATTTTTTTTTTATTTGTCCAAATTATATCTGTCTTTTCAATTTTTTCCCTATCTGTTCAATTTTTTTTATTCAAACTTTGTTCCTCTCTCCTAAACCAACTCTATCTGTTGTCAAAATCTTTATTTTATCTATTTAAATTTTGTATCTGTTGAAATTATCTATTCAATTTTTTTATCTGTTGAAATACCAAGCCAAACTAAATTCTATCTATTAAAATACAGAGCCAAATTAATCCATATCTATTTATCATCATTAACACCACAAGCCAACAACAACTACTACAAAAAGAGAGAGAGAGTTGGATATGCTGATTTTATCTCTGGTAGAGATGATCGCAGATCGGGATAGGTCGGGTGGCATCACATATGCCATCTATTCAAAATTAGGAGGATGGAAAAAAATCAATTTGCATCCATCCACCGGTTTAGCGGATGCGGATTGAGCGGGCCATGTAAGTTAGTAGATAGATGCAATTGGTTTGGCGGTTTAAACTTTACAAATTTTTGGTAATTTTTTGAATTATAATTTTTATCTGAAAAAATATGTATTATTTGTCAATAATAGGCCATGGTACCACGCATGCATATTTTTAAGGTATTTTTTTTCATTTTCACAAAAATATATATTTTATTATTTATACTCTATGTTGTTACTTGTTAGTAATTTTTTTTTTTTTAATTTCATCTATGGACGGATCGGGTTCATATAGGTGCAGGATGTTGATGTAATGCTCCAAAATAAATGATAATCAAACTCTTTTCTCAATAATAAATAAATGACAAGCATTTTGATTATAATGTCCTATCATTTCATATGATTCAAAATACAAAAGATAACACATGCAATTACACATTCATAAGTCCTAACCCTAAATCTATAGCCTGTGCCATGACGAGAAATATGAAACAAAAGTTATACAGATAATAAATGCGTTAAAAGCTTACAACTTTCCAAAACAATGCTTGGTTACCATAAAGATGAATTTAAACTCCAATACAGTTAAAAGCCCTTAGTTTGTGCAAAACAAATACATTAGATAATAAAAAAGAAGCCTTCAGCTCCAAGTTCCTCCCAAACTATGATCTTGG